TAGTGGATTCTTGCTGCTTTTGGCCCCGTGGGATAAGGTCCAGAGAAAGTGGAAACAGCCCCACTCCAAATTCCCAGCTGCATTTCTTGGGCAAATTCATTTCTTCAGTGAAGGAAATAGTCAGAGCCACCAAAAGGCATCACCATTACTAAGCCAAAATGGTACATTCTTCGCTCCAGGAACAGCAACACTTTCTCTCCTTGAGTTTGCCCATTTTTAATATCTGAGGATGAGGAGTAGGATTGTTTCAGCAGACGCTGACTGCCTAGTGACATTTTCCTCTTATTTCTATGGAGATTTCTTTTCCGAGCCAGCCACGTCTTTTTGAAGCCAAATTAAAGCATCCTTTTAGGATGTTGTCAAGTATGGTTGGTTTAAGGAGGTGATCAAGAAACGTGCCTGGTTATACTTAAAATAGGAATTTATACTGGTTCAAGCATTGGACTATGCCTCTGGAGACTAGGGTTTGATTCCCAGCTTGGCCACGGAACCCATTGGATGACCTTGGGCAAGTCACATGCTCTCAGCCTCTGGGGAAGGCAAAGGCAAACCTCCTCTGAACAAATCTTGCCAAGAAAACCCCATGATAAGTCACTATAAGTTAGAAATGACTTGAAGGTACTCAAGAACAACAACTTACTTAAAACAGGAATTTATCTCTGCTACTCAAGAGACTTAATCCAATTGATGAGAAGAGAGATTCTGATCTTCCTACTAACTCCTGTTAGATGGAATCTCGCTTCTTGTGATCTGAATCCATTGGATCAATTGTGGAATAGACTGTCTTGAAGGGTGATAAGGGCTGTTCGACAGTGGAAGACGGAGAGTGGTGGAGTCTCCTTTTTTTGGAGGTCTTTAAACAGAGGCTGGATGGCCATCTGTTGGGGATGCTTTGGTTTTGAGTTCCTGCATGGCAGAATGGGGTTGGACTGGATGGCCCTTGGGGGTCTCTTCCAACTCTATGATTCTGTGCTTCTGTGTGCTTCTATGATTCCCTAGCACTAACCCTAACTCTAAAAGTGGACTCAATTTGCACTCTTTCTGGCAGTCTGCAACCCCCCCTAAATCTTGGAGCAGTGAGTTCTGTAGTTTACGCATTATGTGATGTTGGCCTCTGGCCATCCTGGCTGGAGAATTCTGCAAAGTGTAACTACCGTAATAGTAATAATAATAATAATAATAATAATAATAATAATAATAATAATAATAATAATAATAATTTATATCCCGCCCGTCTGCAGAGCAACAGATACAAGAGTGGCTCCCTCTTGCACCACTTCCAGTAAACTGGGCAAACAACAGAAACAACAAATTTCCTCT